CACACACACACACACACTAACTAGGACACCAGCTATTCATCTGTTGACAGATATTTCTGTTTTTTACAAGAAATTGAAACCCAAATTTCTTTTTAAAAATTTCTGATTTGTAATTTGTATTTTTCCTTACTGTAAAAATTGCATGGAGGCAGTCATCTGTGGCTTCACAGAGGAGAAGGACAATCAAACTCAGAATCAGTCCAAGGCCATTTTCTTTGAAGTAGAGGTCAGACTGTTAGTGGAGCCACCTAAAGAAGTTGCCAAACACCACCACGCAGATTCTCATAGAAAGGAAGGGTTTATTGTGCTGACAGCTGACTCAGTGGATTCGCATCCAGAGACTGAGCCCCGCTACTCGCTACTCGGGGTTACAAGGGTTTTATAGGGTTGCTGGCAGAGGGGGTGGGGTAGTTATCAAATACATAGACAGCTAGGGACTGGGTGACAAGCAGGTAGGCTTGGCCATTACAGAAGCAGGAAGCATAGGTTAGTTGGGCCCCTTGGGGGATTTCTTGAATGGGGCTTACAGTTGAGGAATTTCCATTCTTTAAATTTCTTTTTCTTATAATGGGCCTGGATTCCTATCTCAAGACATGCCTCCACTCTTCAACCTTCTTTACCCTATTCTGATACCAACCATCCCTCCCACAGCACTCTCTGATTCATATCTGGATTCAATAACATGTTGCAATGGTCACAAAGAGCTCATAGACAACACTCACAATTATGGAATTTATTAGGGAAGTGAATAGGACACAATTCAGGATCAGAAACAACTCAGGATTCAGTAGTTCTTCAGACAGGAACACCTCTTTTCAGTTCTGCAAGGCACTTCCTGATCTTGTGTCCCAAAGGGCACATTCTGCAAGGCCACAGGCACTCAGCTTAACTCAGTCCTTAGGCTGTGAAGCCCACAGCTGCTCTCTCTCCCTCTGCTGTGGCTTGTGACTTTTCTTTCTTGATTGTTCTTTCATCTTCTGTTCCTGCTTCTGAGATAGCTCCTTTTAAACTTAGCAGGATGGCATAACTAACCAATCCCAGTGTTAGAGTCCTATACACACTATTTGCATGGTCCCAC